TGCCTCCCCCGCACCCCCCACCCCCGGGCCCTTCTGGAAACCACTCCCACCCAGCCTTGCCAGGCCCGGACTCAACGCCACTCCATCCCCCCCGCCCCCCCAGCCAGGGTGACCCCTCTCCCCGAGGCGCACCCTCCTCCTCGCGCCCCAGCTCCGAGGCCGTCTCCATCTTGGCTGCGATCATACTCTCCTCGAACTGGGCGTAACTGTCAAACACCTGCGTGAAGTCACGCACGGTCATCACGGTCCGGATGGCTTCCTCGTACACGTCCCGAGCCTGCGGGGGGACACGGATGGGAGAGGGGTGTGGCGTGCGGGGGGGGGGGGGGTGAGCGGCCAAGCGCCGGCAGGCGAGAGGTGCGGTGTAGGATTGGATTAGGACTCGCTCCCCAGCACCCCCCATCCCCGCTGCTGGTCCAGCTGCGGGAGCCCTGACCTTGGCCAGCCCTCAGAGGCCTCCAGCCATGCTCACGGGCCCCGACCCCCAACCCTCCCGGGGGCACCCCTCCCCCTCCGCCAACAGTACTCAGCCCCCCCTCCTCTCCCTACTGGCACTGGCAGTGTCCCCAGTCGAGCTGGTAAGACACCTACCTGCTCAGGCCCCAGGCCGGGGCCACCTCCCAGAACCCCTGTCCACTCCTCTCTCTCTCTCTCTCTCTCTCTCTCTCTCTCTGCTCCAGCCCCATCCCCAGAGGGCTGCTTTCACAGCCCCACCTGCTTCCCCCTCCACTGACAGTGAAAGAAAGATAATAGGGACTGGTGCTGTAGCACAGACAGAGACGCTGCCACCTGCAGTGCTGGCAGCCCGTAGGGACACCAGTTCGTATCCCGGCTGCTCCGATTCCAGCTCCCTGCTAATGCACCTGGGAAAAGCAGTGGAAGATGACCCAGGCGCTTGGGACCCTGCCCCTCATGTGGGAAACCCCGCATGGAGACTCCTGGCTTCAGCACCGCCCAGCTCTGGCCATTGTGGTCATCTGGGAGAGTGAATCCATAGATGGAGCAGCCCCCCTACTCACTCAGTAACTCCGACTTTCAAAACAAATTAGTCTTGAAAAATAAAACAATAAGAAAGCAGTGGCAAGGACCGTCACAGGAGGGGTCCCTGCGTGGGGCGCCTGCTCCGGGCTCCCCCAGTGGTAAGGACCATCACAGGAGGGGTCCCTGCGTGGGGCGCCTGCTCCGGGCTCCCCCAGTGGTAAGGACCATCACAGGAGGGGTCCCTGCGTGGGGTCCCTACTCTGGGCTCCCCCAGTGGTAAGGACCATCACAGGAGGGGTCCCTGCGTGGGGTCCCTACTCTGGGCTCCCCCAGTGGTAAGGACCGTCACAGGAGGGGTCCCTGCGTGGGGCGCCTGCTCCGGGCTCCCCCAGTGGTAAGGACCGTCACAGGAGGGGTCCCTGCGTGGGGCGCCTGCTCCGGGCTCCCCCAGTGGTAAGGACCGTCACAGGAGGGGTCCCTGGTGGGGTCTCTACTCTGGACTCCCCCAGTGCTATGGACACACAACCTGGCAGAAGCCACAGCGCCCCCTAGTGGCGGCTGCCCCCCTCGGCCACTGCGCAGCTGGGGTTTCTTGCCTTCAGGATGGCCATGCGGGTGGCCTGCGTTTCCTGCTAACCATCCCCTTACCAGAGGCCCGCCTGCCTGCACCCACCTTCTCAAAGTGGCCGCTGCGGATGTAGTAGTCGGCCAGCGAGCACCAGAGCTTGCCCAGCTGATCGGTGAAGCGGGTGAGGCCCCCGCGGATGATGGCATCCACGTTGAGCGATTGTACCTTGTCTGGGTTTTGAGAGATGAGGTCGCAAAGCTCGTGCCACAGCTGCGGGAGGGAAGGTGGGGTCAGTCTCCATTCAGGATCCTGGCAGCTCCAGCAGCAGCAGCAGCAGCAGCAGCAGCAGCAGCAGCAGCAGCAGCAGCCCCCGGGTTCCCGGGGTTCCCCGGGTTCCCCAGGGCCGGCTCTCACCTGGTAGTTGGATTTGCCGGCCTTGGACACAAACCGCTCATCATTGACCACGGTGGCCAGGCGCTGCGCAGCCTCGTCCAGCCGGTCGCTCGACTTCAGATACTCGATGTATTCCTCGGCGCTCTCAGGGCTCAGCTGGGGGGACCGCCGAGTCCACACACAGTTGGTGGGCCCGCACCACCACCACTCCCCCTTCTCGCCCCACCCAAGGCAGTGAGTCACTGTTCAGGACAGCAGCCAGCCCTGGGCCAGCCTTAGCACCACTGTGGTCTAGCCTGGCCCCCATCTCGAGCCACCCTGGCTGCACCTACACTCTCAGCCCTGGCCCTGGCCAGGGTTGGGGGTCTAAGCAGTGGGTTCAAGTACTCCTGTCTCCTGCAGTAGCTCCTGGGCAGGCGGGGGCTGTTTTAGTCATTTGTCCCTAAGACGAGGCAGAGCAGGTGCCAGCCAACTCCTTAGGAAAGAAAAGACTCGAGTCCCCAGCAAGACCCACGTGTCCCTCCCCCGTCCTGCCTGACATCCAGGGAGGTGGGCTCGCCCACGGGGCTCACCTTGAGGAAGCGCCGGTAGCCTCGCACGGCCGTCTCGGGCAGGGGGTGTGAGCGCAGGAAGCGCAGGTACAGGGGCCAGATGCGGGAGTGCTGGGTGATGGGCAGGGCCCGCAGGGCGCGGTCGAAGGTACGGCGGGTGTGCGTGACGCGGCCCTGGTCCATGAGGAACTGGCAATAATCCAGCCACAGCCGGGGCATCTGTGAACCCACGAGTGGGGAGTTGGCGGGGAGGACAGGGGCAAGGAGACCTGAGCCAGGAGTGGGTTCACCAGCCATCCTGCGGCCATCCTAGCAGCCATCCCCATACCACGCCCCCAGCCCCACCACCACCCCTCCTTGTCCCCACCATGCCCCCAGCCCCACTACCACCCCTCCTTGTCCCCACCACGGCCCCAGTCCCATCACCGCCATCCTGCCCCCACCACGGCCCCAGTCCCATCACCGCCATCCTGCCCCCACCACAACCCCAACCCCATCACTACCCCCTGCCCCCACCACGACCCCAACCCCATCACCACCATCCCGCCCCCCCCACATCCAACCCCTCTGCCCCCCCAGACCCTCCTTGCCCCCACCACTGTCTTTCCTTGTCCCCTCACACCCCCAGCCCCATCACAGCCCCTCCCTGCCCCCCACTCACCCAACCCCTCTGCCCCACCATACCCTCCTTGCCCCTACCACGCCCCCAGCCCCACCACACTCCTAGCCCCCACCACGTCCCCAGCCCCATCATTGCCCCCTGCCCCACCACACCCACAGCTCCATCACAGCCCTTCCCTGCCCCCCCACGCACCCAACCCCCACTGCCCCACCAGACCCTCCTTGCCCTCACCACGGACTCTCCTTGTCCCCTCACACCCCCAGCCCCATCACAGCCCCTCCCTGGCTCCCAAACATCCAGCCCCATCATTGCCCCCTGGCTCCATCACATCCCCAACCCCATCACCACCCTCCTGCCCCACCACACCCCCAGCCGTCACAGCCCCTCCCTGCCCCCCCCCGACGCACCCAGCCCCCTCTGCCCCCCCAAGATCCCCCTTGCCCCCACCACTCCCCCCAGCCCCACCACATTCCACACCTTGTGCATGAACACAAAAGCCCTCTCATGGCAGTTGTTCACATCTTCATAGGCGGGGTCTGTCACACAGCGGTGTTTCACCTGGGCCCGCCGGGCCTTCAGGTAGCGGTACCAGAGCTTGTAGCTAGGAGACGGTGGGACAGACACAGATGGGTTGGCATCAGAACTAACCCCCCCAGCTCGCCCGCCCGCACCCAGGCCAGACCCTTGGCCCTGCCCCCCAGCGTGGGGACAGGTGGCAGTCATACTGGGCAGGGCAGGGCGGAGGCAGCCACGGGGTGCCCACCTGCAGGGCAGCAGCTTGAGCGCCCGTTCATACAGTTGGTTGAGCCTGGGCTTCGGGGCCCCCTGTTTGAATTCGATATAGCGGAGCCAGCATTTGACCGAGAACTGGTTTCGCATGATTTCCTCTTCATAGGGGAGATCCTCTTCGTCCTGCCACGCGGAGGGGTCAGGAGGATGGTTGGGGGAGGGAGGGAGATGAGGAGACCCTCCCTGCTCTGCCCTCGCACAGGTCACCCCCCCCTCCGACACCAGCATGTCACTCCAGCCCGTTCCTCCTCAGCAGGCTGCTGCCCACACAGGCCTTCCATCAACCCAGCCCTGCAGGACTTCGGACACCCCGCAGAATATCCACGGAATACCTCTGAGCTGGAACAGCTCACGGCAAACCTCTTCCCCAATGACAGGTGTTACCGCTTTAGGAGCGCGCGCGCTTGCGCTTGCAGGCACCTGACCAACCTCCACCCGCCTCCTCCATCCCCTGCAAGGCCCACACATAAAACCAGCTCGCAGCAGGACTGCTCAGGTGCACTAAACCATGGGTGTCGGCCAGGCTAGCTGAATTCGGGTGTGTGTATGTGTGTGTGTGCCATACGTTTTCAAGCCCGTGGGTGCTAACCCTAAACCCGCCTCGCCCCATTTTCCATGCAAACCCACTTCCGCCTCCAACCCAGGCCCTTAAGCTCCACAGCGACTCTGTTTCTTGAGACAGGCCACCCGGGCTCCGCTTCCGACCCCGGAGCTGCATTCCCCCGCCAGCCCAAGCCTGGCCCGTTTAGGGTCCCCCGTTTTTTTGGCCGAAGCCCCCTGAACACGACACGCTCCGACGATACCCCGCCCCTCAAGGCATTTTTCAAATGCAGAAATCCGGCCCCGGCCCCACTACCGCGAAGACCACCCCCCTTTGCCTCCATCGCAGACTCACAAAGACAAGATCCGGCCGCTCGGGCCGCGAATTGCGCGCCATCTTCCTAGCTCTTCTGCTACAGCCGGGAGTCGCGCGCTTATGACGTCGCCCGCCGGAAGCATCCGCCCCCTCGGGTCAAGCCCGTTTGCCCATTGGCTAAATCCTTCCGTCCCTCACGGCCCGCGATGTTGACTTCCGTTGTAGGCCACGCCGGCGACCGGAGGCGGAGTCGAGGCGCCTGATGATTACGCCAGCTTAGGGGCGGAAGTGGTTCTTAAGAGACCTGGCGCGCCGCAGATATGGGCGTTAAACTGGAGGTGTTTCGGGTCCGTGAGCCCAAGGTTGTGGGATTGGGGAGTCGAGCCGGGAGCGCGAGGCTGCGATGAAAAAGGGAGAGCTTTCCTGGAAGCCCAGAGGAAGGGAGGGGAGGGCGCTGGCTTGAGGCGCTCGAGGGGGGCGTCCGGATTTGGGGGGGCCCTTTGCGAGCCTTGATGTGAATGAGGCGGAGGGGTGCGTCCTGGGGTGTCCTTGGATCGTGGTGGTAGAAGCTGGACCTAGTGGGTGCAGGAATGGGGTGCATGGGCATTGCGCGTGCGCCCCCGTTGACTTCCCAGCCTGGAGGGGCGCAGGGCGGGGTTGGGGGCTTTGAGGGCATATATGTATATATATATATATATATATTTTAAGCTCACTGGGTCTTTTGTTCTCAATCGGGTTGCATACGCTGTTCCTGGCCAAGGCGGCCATCCCATCCCAGCTTGAGTTCCTGCACCCCCCCCCATCCCACCCCACACACACACACACACACCTCGCACCCCCTTGTTTCTGCAGATGACTCTGTACCTCACGTTCCCCGTGGCCATGTTCTGGATTTCCAATCAGGCTAATTGGTTTGAGGATTCTGTCATACAGCGCAAGGTGCACTCGCCGGAGCAGAAGGGAGGGCGGGGAGCGATTGTGGGTTCAGCCCAAGGGGGTGGGAGCGGGCGCCAGTGCTGCAGTGTGTGTGTGTGTGTGTTGGGGAGGGGGCGTCCCATAGCTGCCTTCGCCAGCTCAGCACTGCCCTGAGATGTGTGTGGGTGCACCAGTGGCTCCTGGCTCACGTTCCCCCCTGTCTGTGATTGTCTTCCACAGAGGGAGTTGTTCCCACCAGAAAAGGAAAGTCAGGTAGGCGAGCCCACATCGCACACGCTCAGAGGGAGCGGGGAGGCCGGGTTCCCCTTGGCCATGCCTGCCAGAGAATGGAAATTCTACTGTCCACGCCTGTGGCCGGGGGACCTGACAACCGAGGGGCAGTGCGGCTGGCTCACCGCCCCTGGACTGACTCATGGGCCTTGCGGTTCCTAATGCAGACGGTGAACCTGGAAGCCGTGGCCTACGGGAGTTAGGGGAGAGCAGGGGTGGTGGTGATGGGAGGAGAGGGGTCCAAGGTCCTGAAGGGGTGCCGCTCTCCTGCTTTTCCCACCCTCAGCGCCAAGAGTTCGAAGCCTTCAAAGACAGGATCCGGAAGCAACGGGAGGAGAAGCTGCTTGGCCGGGCTGCCCAGCACGGCTCATGAATGCCTGGGTCCCGGCACCCCCTTTCCCTTGCCCCCTGCCCTCTCCCCGCTATACTGGTGACAAAAATCACACCAAAAAAACTCTGTTGATGGTTGCTTTATTGTCTTTTCTGGGTGGTGGTGGTGGTGGTGGTGGTGGTGGTGGTGGTGGTGGTGGGAGGGCCCACAGGGGAGCGAGGGGCTTGCTTCAAGGGGCTTGTGTCTGGGGCTGTGGGCTGCTGTTCCTACGGAAACCCAGAGCGCTCGGATCTTGGGGGACGAGCAGGGGTTGGGGACTCAGGGTCCCGGCTCGTTTCTGCGTACTGTCCTGTGGAACGAGAAGGGTCAGCCAGAGGCGGCAGGTGGGGAGGCTGGGAGGTGGGTAGCATTTAGAGCCAAGGACAGGTGGAGCTAGAGACTGGCTCCGGCGGTGGAGGTGACGCAGACTCAGAGGGAGAAGGTGCCGGTGGAAACCCCAGGTATAGGACCACTCTGGTACTTTTCCTGTGTCCCCCACATTGCATACTGCCAAGGGTGATGTTTGGGTGTCTTGAGGGCCCTCACCAGGGTCTTGGACCAGACTCTCATGCAACACACCAGCGCATGCGTGAATGTGGTACCTGCGTCCCCACCCCGGGCCTCCCCCGACACTCTCCAGCTCCGGCATGCCTTTGTACCCCCCTACATCTCCCTTGTCTGAGCCTCCTTGGCCCTCCCACCTGAAGTCCCGGCAGGGGATGGGACAGAGGGCCAGGGCGGGACAGGGCAGCAAGGAGGGAGACAGCCGGAGAACGTCACCCACCTTGGGGCCCACGGGCTGGAAGCCTGGAAGGGCGCTGATGGTCACACGCTGGTCATCCATGCGACGACCCTGGGTGCTGGCCAACATGTCCATGAAACTGTCCATCTCAGGTGCCTGGCTGCCGCCCTCTGCAAAGAGAAGCAGGGAGGCATGTGGGGCGATGGGTACAATGCCCCCTCACCCCCGTGCCTCTGCATTCCTGCCCTGTTCACACACACACACACTGACAGCTCGGCAGCCCAGCCCTGCTCACCTCCCTCAGGGGCCCGGCCAGACGTGGTCTGCAAAGAACAGCGCTGTTCCTCCATACGGTCGCCCTGCACGTGGCTCAGCAGGTTGAAAAAGCCCTCCTGGTCTGGGGAGCCCGCCTGGGAACACAAGCACACACCAGGTCCAGCAAGCGCCCCCTCAACCAACGGGGAGCTCTCTCCTTCCCCAGCCGGCTCTGGAGCCCGCGTCCCTCGCCTCTCGCCCCTCGCCCCTCAGTTCTCACCATGGTCCCTGCTTGCTGGTCGGCTGCTCTGGGCTGCTCCAAATGAGACTTTAAGTTTCCTTCCCACTCTCGGGGCCCCGCCCCAGGCCCCCCACCCCCTTCCTATCACTTCACGTGGTGCCCCCTCCACCCTGCCCCAAGAGAGAGGCAGCCAGGGCTGGTGGCCCGCTGTCCTAGATTGGGACCTGGTTGGACAACACGGCCTGGAGGCTGGGAAACTCGTACCCAGAGGCCATCCTGAAGGCCCAGCACCACTCCCTTCCCCCTCTCTTCCAGGGGTCAGTGCCAGGAAACCTGCCCTCTGGCATGGTCGGGTCCTCACACCCAGCAGACCACCAACACCTTCTTGGGTCGGTTAATTGGGTCGGGGTGTGGGGGAGGGGTTCCCCAAGAGGACCCATCTCTCAAATTAGATGCCCTACAAATGAATTAGTCCTGCCAGTCATGGGCTCTGGGACCTCGAGGGGCTGGGGGAGGGGACCCTCTTACCTTCTCCAGGGGAGTTGACCCTTCCTCCTGCTCCATCCCCGCCCGCTGGACCCTGTGTCCAACCCTTTCAGCTGTCCTCTGTCTGCACCCCCGGCAGGTGCCAAGAGAAGGCCTTTTAAATGACCGTGATATTGCGGGGGAGGGGGGCACCCCCTGCAGCTTCAAATCCCCAGCTCATTCCTCCATCTGCTCCCACCCAAGCTTAAGCCTCATCAAGATGATCAGATAATTGTGTTTCCCCCCCTCCCCCGGAACAATGCCCGGGTTGGGGGGGGGGGGCAGCAGTGGGAGGAAGGGAGGAGTCAGGACTCCCAGGCCAGGTGCTGCCAAAGGCCAGGGCTTATACCTCCACAATGGAAACCCCGAGACAGGATGTCCCTACCCCAGCCAGACCAGTCAGCTCCGTCACCTGCACCTGCATGTGTGGGAAGGGACCACAGCTGCCACCTGCCAGGAGCCACGGAGCAGCCTGGCGCCAGCCATGCCATCTCCCAGGCGGGGTGGCCTTCCCTGCCCCCCTCCCCTCTCTGCACTGCCCTCGGTGGGGGGTGGGTCTTGGTGACTGTGACAGCTTCCAGAACATTTGGATTCGCTGTCACGCAGCCATCTCCTGTGATTCATCACCATCAGCTTGTCGTGGGCACAGGGAGCAAGGCTTGTGCACCTCAGCTGTGCTTCCCCCAGGAGGCTGTGTCCCTACCTCCGACACACACACACACACACACACACACACACACACCCCTGCCAGGTGCCTTTCTGTATTACAAATAGGCTGAATGGGCCAAGTGCAACAGCCTAATGGTTAAATCCTCACTTTGCACGTCCAGAATCTTATATACATGCCGGTTTGTGTCCCAGCTGCTCCACTTCCCATCCAGCTCCCTGCCCATGGCCTGGGAAAGCAGTCGAGATGGCTCAAAGCCTTGGGACCCTGCACCCCCATGGGAGACCCAGAAGAAGCTCTGGGCTCCTAGCTTCAGGTTGGCTCAGCACCAGCCGTTGTGGCCACTTGGGACCAAGACACTCCCATTTGGAACAGGCGCATTGTAAGCAGGGTCCTAGTGGTTGCACTCCAGGCCACACCGGGATCTTTTAAAAATAGGTCCACTTATTTAAAAGTCAGAAATCTTAAACAAATCTGTCCACTTAACTCCTTCTGTGATGCCTGTAACAGCTAGGGCGTGACCAGGCTAAATCCAGGAGCCCAGAGCGCCACCCAGGTCACCCACACACGTGGCAAGGGACCACTCCAGGACTGGATACCGTACTGCTGTGTCCCGGCAGAATGCCGGGTTGGAAGCAGGAAGAGCCAGGTCTCCACTAGGCATTCTGGATGGAGCGCGCGTGTGTTCCAAGTGGTGGCTTAACCCTTTGCACACAGGTCCTAAATTGCAGCCTGCGAGGGGGCGGGCCTCAGTGGATGGCCCCTTTGGGGGGGAACTGCCAGCGGGGCGCGCTCCCCAAGGAAACCCTATAAACGTCATAAGGGGCCCCTAGGCCTGTCTCCTGCCACTCCCATGGGAGCCGGCGGTCCTCATCTTTCCCCTGGCGACTAACCGAGGCGGTCACTTGGACCACCCCAGCCTCATTGCCACACTGAAGGCAGTGGATTAAGGGCCCGCCCTTCTCCCTCTCAAATGACCTCATATTCAATAATTGCACCTGCGGCAGCCCTGCTTCCAAAAACGGCCACATTCTGAGCTACTGGGGATTAGGGTTTAGAGCTTGTAATTTCATTTTTTCCCTCCTGTAACTTTGGGAGACCCTGGGCATCCCTGTGTAGTCCAGAGAGGCTGAGGGAGTGATGCTGGCAGCTCTTGGGGGACCCGGGGGGGGGGGCAGGCTGAAAAAAACCTGCAGTGATGTCACCTCCACGGTCTGGCTCTGCGATTTAAAAAAAAAAAAAAAAAAGATTTAGGCCCCGGCGCGGTGGCGCAAGTGGTTAAGGTCCTCGCCTTGCACGCCCCGGGATCCCATATGGCCGCCGGTTCTAATCCCGGCAGCCCCGCTTCCCTTCCAGCTCCCTGCCTGTGGCCCGGGAAAGCAGTCAAGGACAGCCCAAAGCCTTGAGACTCTGCACCCGCGTGGGAGACCCGGAAGAGGCTCCTGGCTCCTGGCTTCGGATCGGCATAGCATCGGCCGTTGCGCTCACTTGGGGAGTGAATCATCGGACGGAAGATCTTCCTCTCTGTCTCTCCTCTCTGTATATCCGCCTTTTCAATGAAACAATAATAAAAATAAATCTTTAAAAAAAAGATACTCAGCGGGGTTGTCTGGTATCCATGCAAAGGGAGGCAGAGCTGCATTCAGGTGCTGTAGAGACACAGCGGGAAGTTCCTTACGACCTTGCCTGCAATAGAACGATACTCTTCACACCTTCCTGTCTTCCACACCCATCACACGGACCCCAGCACCACCCCAGGATCAGGAGGGGGTCTCTCAGCTTCTAGCATTGCTCTAAAGTCTCCCTTAGTTCCGCTTTGGTCCTCAAGCTGTGTTAACAGCCGGTGGTGACAGGTGTAGGGCAGTCAGCAAACGGTACATGCAAAGCCTTGGCATTGGCCATACTGTTGGGAGAATTAGGTCTGAATGTTAAAGGAAGGAAGGAAGGAAGGAAGGAGGGAGGCAGGAAAAACCCACACTGCCCCCTGGCACGGCCAACCATCCTCATTTTCCCGAGAGTGGCACAGTTTTAGAGCCGGGGAAGCCCTGGGCCCTGAGGCATGCCTCCTTTCTAGCCAAACTAGGACGGGTAACAAAAGCGTGGTGTTTGGGCGAAGCGGGAAAGATGGAAGTAGGTGGCATTGTGGCACCTGCCACTTAGGGGTCACGTCCCCGCTGTTCCACTTCCCATCCTACTCTGCCGCTCACGAGCTGAAGATGGCTTAGGTGCTCGGATCCCTGTCCCCCTCCACGTGGGCGACCCTGTCACTCGCGCTCCTGTGGCTGGGGTGAGGCCCAAGTCAGCAGCCTGGAATTGCATCTCAAATTTCAGCATCTCCAGGAACCTAATCCTGGGCTCCAGGGAAAGGACGACTCGGGAGTTACTACTGTCCGGGGACTGTTGTCACTGGGGGGGGTGCGCTCCCCTGGCTGTGTGGACGCACCTTATCCCCGCCCGGGGCCACCCCACCCCGGGCCACCCCTGCATCCAGGCTCCCAAGCTGCTGGCTGGCCTGCAACAACACGGCCTGGCAGGACATGACTGACGGCTGGGCGGGGCGGGGCCAGGTGCTCGAGGGGGCGGGGCCCACGTGGGTGACGCACAAGGGGCCACGCCCCCACCTTGGGACAGACCCGGAAGCGGCCGCCGAGCTCCTGGGGGGAAGATGGCGCCCTCAGGGCTGAAGGCGGTGGTGGGGGACAGTGAGTGCCAGGCGTGGGCGCGGGCGGGATTGGGGTCGGGGAGAGGCCTGGTGTGGGACCCCGGGCCCGCAGCACCCACCGCGGCGGGGACTTGGGGGGTGCCGGACAGGGGATGTGGTTGATATTCGAGGTTTGGAGGGGTGGGGTGGGGGGGATGGCTGCTGGCAGCCGGGGGCTCTCCTCCCTTCAGCTCCCGGGGCACTTGGATGCCATGGCGTCCTGCTCTGACACTCTGTGCGCCCGAGCGGATCAAAGTTGGCAAGGGGCAAAAAGTTAGGCCCGGTGGACGGTCTCTCTGGGGCGCCCTGTGCGTGTGGAGGGACCCACCCCCGTTTTGCACCCAGATCGCCCCCCACACCCACACCCACACACACACACACACACACACACGCACACACGCACACACACGCACACACACACCCGGTTCTGAGCTGATGCTGGACTCTGTGAGCGCTTGCTGGGCCGGGTGTGTCCAGGAGCACGGGGCTGGTGTGGGGTGTGTGTGGGCGGGGGGCTTCTTCCCTCCAGAGGATCCTTGCAGCATGGGACCCAGGCCTGGCAGCCTCACGGGGTGTCCCCCTGCCAGGGTTCTTGGGGGAAAGGGTGGAGCCGAGTAGTTCCGGCCTCCGCTGTTCCTTCCTTCCAGGGCGGCCTGATAACAGTGGACAAGGCCTCTCTGACTGGGTGGGGCCGCCCTTGTCCCTTCTCCCCACTCTGGGTAGGGCAGCTGTGGCGCAAAACCCCCTGTCCCTTTGCCGCCATCGCTCACTCCAGCTCCGAGAAACTCCGAGGGGGGCGGGGGGAAAGCCAGGAATTCCATCTCACAGATCAGAAAACTGAGGCAGCAGACTGAAGGGAGGGGCGGGGTCCAGCACAGACAGATGGCTACCAGTGGATACTTCCGCCGCACCAGATCTCTTGGGTGCTGAGGGTGCTTGGCTAAGTCCTCATAGTACCTCGGGTTGCTTAGTAACT